TTTAGTTCCGATTCTGCATAATCTTTTTTATTCTTTATCTTGCAGCAATGGATTTGTCACCACTGTTTCTGGGAGATACCGAAGCGCTCTCTCCACCACGCACGAGCAACTCAGGTATTTCGAAAATATACGTACATATATATTTATAATATGTGTAATAGTTTTTAATCCTGCATTTTCAGATGTAGCCCTATATAGAAAGCGCTTTCATGTGGCACTGCCTTATGAGGAGCGTGTTGTCTCCCAGCCATCCGAACCACCAACACGGGTGTATCCGCTACAACAGCAACAACCAACACAGGTCAACAATTTACATTGTCTCACTTGGAGGAGAGCCAAAAAGAAATGTTTGATGGCGTCATGGCCGCCATTGTAAGAGTTGAGCCAAAGGTGGATAGAATAGCAAATGCTCTTGCCGAAAAGGTCATATCAATGTACATATTTATCAATGCTAAAATTAATGTTTAATAATTTAATTTTTTTTCAGATGCCCGAACGCGCGGAAGTTCAAGCGAGAGTGCAAAGTGGTGACCTCGAAAGTTAACCAAAGTATTTGCCGAATCACTGGAGATGTTATTAGTAAAGAGTATACTTTGCTTCAAAGTATGCTCCCACTATCATCCCGGAAAAAGTTAAATACTTTGGATCTTTTGGAAAAAACCAAACTCCGACGCAATGGTAATTTTTGCTAATTTTTTTATTGTTTTTTATACAGATATACATCAGAGATAGGCAAATGATGCTGTTTTTGTGACTTTAAGCCTACTCACATTAAAAACGGGGGATGAACGAACACCAGCGCATAGCGTGCAGTGCTTGCAAACATGTTTGCCGTTTTGGTCCAAATGGAACCAATTTGGTCCATTTCTTTTCGTTTGATCCACTGGTCCATTTTTTTTGAAAATGGTCCATTTCACAAGCCTTTGGTTAGGTTATTATCACCCTTTACTTCATGCAATAGTTACGCGTTTTCAATTTTTTCTATTTACTTGATGAATATTCCGCCCCATGTTGAATATCGTCATCGTCAGAAAAGTGACGATACGGCCATCTTCAGCCATGTTACTGATGCGCTGACGATCGTCGACGATGACGATGACGATATTCAGCATAGGGCCGATTGGCAACACCTGCTGAAAGTTTGAACTCGCCTTGCCACTGATCTTTAAATATGGCATGGCTAATAATCTGTCAAAACACGCTAAAAAAAAATATCGCAGTTGGCTTGCAATAATATGGAAAGGTAGCAAAACTTTAACCATAGCATTTAGCACATGAAAAATATTTAACATCTTGAAATTATTACACCACATAAAGTTCTTTCTGATACTGATGTAAAAATTTTTCCGCTACTCGACTAATTTCCTGCATTGGTAAATGATGAAGACATAATTGAGTTTCAATTTTGCAAATTGAGGCTGAGTGAAGGTAACTTTAAAAACTATACCAATATAGATTTGGGATCAAGTAAGTTTGATTAAAAATGGAGTGCGTGGAGCGGCCTTTGGAGAACATTTTTAGTCTGCTCACAGTTCCGCAGCAGCTGAGCACAAATTTTATGAATTAGCATTAGTAAAAACGAAATTGAGAAACAAATTATAATTGAAAACTTTAAATAGTAATATAAAAAAAATCGTTATAAAAACTGAATTGGCATTTTTTCTTGATAAAGAGGAATAAGCTCCACTCAATTTTCCGATGTAATAAAAATTGGTAAATTTTTTACCATTTGGTCCATTTGTTGGTCTGAAAAATAAATTTCAAATGGCAACCGTGATTACATCACCCTCCTTTTGTGAAAGGAAGCTTTGNGATAAAGAGGAATAAGCTCCACTCAATTTTCCGATGTAATAAAAATTGGTCAATTTTTTACCATTTGGTCCATTTGTTGGTCTGAAAAATAAATTTCAAATGGCAACCGTGATTACATCACCCTCCTTTTGTGAAAGGAAGCTTTATAAGGTGATCGGACTTATAAAACTTCTTTATCATATCTAATAATAATGGCCCGTAGTCATAGTCAAAATAAAGTCGACTTTAAAGTTAGTTGCAGCTTTTTTGACAGATATCCCATTGAAAATTATGTCAAAAAGCTGCAACTAACTTTAAAGTCGACTTTATTTTGACTATGACTACGGGCCAATAATAATAGATTGGCGCTTACACATATGTTAGTGTTTGGCCGAGCATCTCCTCCCACTTGTGGCGTGCGCCTTGATGTTGTCACACAAAGCGGAGGGACCTACAGTTTTACGCCGACTCCGAACGGCGATTGCATTTTTATGAGAAGCTGTTTTTCATGGCAGAAATACATCCGGAGGTTTGCCATTGCCTGCCTAGGGACGACCGCTGTTAGNCGACTTTATTTTGACTATGACTACGGGCCAATAATAATAGATTGGCGCTTACACATATGTTAGTGTTTGGCCGAGCATCTCCTCCCACTTGTGGCGTGCGAGTTGATGTTGTCACACAAAGCGGAGGGACCTACAGTTTTACGCCGACTCCGAACGGCGATTGCATTTTTATGAGAAGCTGTTTTTCATGGCAGTAATACACCCGGAGGTTTGCCATTGCCTGCCTAGGGACGACCGCTGTTAGGAAAAAACCTTTTTCTATATTTTTTTGCGATGTTTCTTTGACCAGGGCTTGAACCCAGGTGCTGATGAGTGAAAGCGCGCACTGCTTACCACTATACCACAGCTAGCAAAAATTGCTTTGGAGGAACGAAAATTAGACAATTATTCTTTCCTTCTTAGAAATTTTCGTTCGTCCATAGCAATTTACAGTTCCACACTCTAATTATAATTATAACTATCTATTCCATTTAAATTAAAACTGTTAACTCAATTTTCTTTTAACACCCAACATTTTGTTTGATATTTAATTTTAGTAACGTAATACTTATTGTAATTAGAATTAAGAATGCCTTTTTCCCGTATAAGCTAATACATATTTGATTTTAACAATTTTGTGCAATGTTATAAGGTATTTATCAAACTAAAATACTAATAAGAGGTTGTTATACGATTATTAAACTATTGTACTAATGCATGTGTAACTTGTTTTATTCATTTTATTATTAATATCATTTTTCATCTATTTTTTTGTTATGTAGTGTGTTTGTATTTTCAATTCATTTCTTTCTTATAGGGAATTTACATGATTCAACTTTCACAGGCGATTAGTTGAACCAAAAGTTGAACGAAAGTAAGCAGCCGACCAACTTCATTNGTTGAACCAAAAGTTGAACGAAAGTAGGCAGCCGACCAACTTCATTGCAAAGCTGAAATTAGTCGAGAACGCAGAATGTATACTTAAACGCAGTCTATATACGCAGAATTTTGTCGATTACTGGAGCCCTCAGTGTTGCTTACTACACACTTGCCACTCATCAATGCCTTTTCATAAACTAACCCTTTCAACTACAATTTTTCGTGCTATAATAGATTTTAGCTAAATATAAACTACTTAGTTTTCAACAAAAACCTTATTCAATAGTAAATTTCAAATATTTTAATCATATTTTGAATAGGAACTTATAACTTTTTTACCATCTGTAAAACTGACGAAGTGGCAACCATCTAAAGAAGGAGAAATCAGCTAACACGGAAAAATCTAAATTCCGCAGATTTCTGCGCTACGGGCTACAACTACAGAAAAATTCTGCGGTGTTGAGTTTTCATTTACATGGCGCTTTGGTAAGACAGATCGTGTATCCTTTTCTTTAATTTTGTTTTCATTAACAACCATTTTCTTTTATTCTTATTTTAATTTGGCCAGCCAATCCGAAATCCTTATAAAACTATGTTCACATTACCAACATAAAATACTTAGTTTCGTTTAAAATACCTCACTTAATTAAGTGCGTTCATACACGCGTTTCTTTATTTGTCTTGACAGCTTTGTAGCAACCCTGTGTTATTGTTTATTTAACGGAAAGAGATCGCAAATGTGAGTAATTGCGTATATTTTTAAATTCTGAGTTGTTTGTGGTAATTTTTTAGATTTTAGATGAGTGGTCAAAAGAGAAATCTTCTGGAAATATTTTACAAAACTACCACGCGCGATTATTAAAAACAAAAACGTCCAAACACAATGACATATCAGTTGTGGGACAATACTTTTTTCGATTATTAT